TTTTATGCTCTAAAAAAAGAAGTTTTCAAAAAAATTTAAAATCCTTCGTTCAAGGACTAGCTATTGTTATAATAAATAAGTGGTCAAAATTTAATGTCGATCGGATTAATAGTTTTTTAGTAATCGTGTCCCCGCAAAGGTAATTTCGAAAAAACAAGATTCTGAGATAATCGGGTTTAAGGTTTCAAGTTTGTAACGACCGATGTGCAGGTAGTGCGCTATAAATAGCTACAACTTCGGTTCTAATGCTCCGATCGTTCTGAATTTTTGTAAGAGTATTCTCTACAGTATATACTTAAAGAATATGCAACAAAAAAATCGATTTTTTCATCTTTCACAACTCTATATAACCCCTTAAATGATATAAATAGTATTCTTATAACGAAGAAAACAAAATTAAGTAAATTACACCTATATTTTTAGGTACATTTGTTTTTTGAGTGTAATTTCTAAATATTCGTTTTCCAAACTGTAAACTTTCCAACACGATGTACATATTTCTTATAAAAATATTATAATATTTTTAAAACCAATATATATTTTAAATTTTAAAACATTACGATTTAATTCTAAGCAACGGTTTGGTATCCCGCTATAGTCGGTTTGGTGTCCCGACTATCTAATACCCGTCACTCAGCTAAAGGGAGTGCGAACGCTGTACTCGGGTTGGTGTCCCGACTATCTAATATTTGAACCTCAGCTAAAGGGAGTGCGAGGGAGATAGATATACATAGATATTTTGATTGCGTATAACTTTTTAATGAATGGTCCGATTTGAAAAATGTCTTCTACATTTCGATAGGTATAAGTACACAACAAAATTGCATTTATAATTCTCGGAAATCTTTAAAATCGTTAGTGGGCTCAGCTGAAATAAACTTGCGCTGCGTAGGTGGCCCAAGAATATGTGTGGCAAATCTTAACCTTCTAGCTTTTGTAGTTTCCGAGATCTCAGCGTTCATACGGACGGACAGACGGACATGGCTAGATCGACTCGGCAAGTGACCCTGATCAAGAATATATATACTTTATGGGGTCGGAAACGCTTCCTTCTAGCTTTTACATACTTTTGCACGAATCTAATACACCCTTTTACTCTACGAGTAACGGGTATAAATATATGGAAAAGGTAATGGCCGCGTTCAGCAGAACGACATGATCACTGATTACTGATCCATCAGTTATCAGTGATCAAGTTTGTTTTGCTGAACGCTCATGATACATTTCAATGACGTAAAAGTAAAAAATATATCAATTTAAAAAAAATGTTTTCCTGCCTCCGCAAATGCAGCACTGCTCACAGCTATCGCGGATACATAAAAATAAAAAATGACTGAACAATTATAAAGAATTAAACCGAATTTATGTTTTTTTTTAAATTATTATGTTAATAAGTTTCGATATTTCGATAATCGATATATGCCAGAAGCCATATAGCGTACTATTTTTACGCTACCTGATACCTGATCACTGATGCAAAATTCTTGCATCATAATTAGTAATCATGTGCGTTCAGAAGAACTATTGTAAGAAATCCATCAGTGATCAGGTATCATGTTCTGCTGAACGCGCCCAATGTGTATAGTTTTTCTTATGTTTATTTGTATATAATTTATTTTGCTTTTTTTATAGATTACACCTTTTATTTTCGTATTGATGTCCAGAAAAACAGAAGTGTGCTATCAACATTTCTTTGCATATATTGGTTGCAATATTTGTAGCTTGGCCGGAAGATCGTACATTTCGGATTACAAAAGGCTATGCGTAACGCAATCAGAAATTTGCACCCCTCCACAAAGTTTTACGCATGCTGGTTCTTCTTCTGCCATAATACCTGGATTTGAAGTTGAACTAAGGCGAAACAAGATTTTTTATGCAGTATCTTCCATCTTCCATTGCTGCCACCTAGTTTGATCAATGAAACTTTCTCCGATCTTAAAACTGGAGCCAATTCTGTGAGCAACAAACTATTGTCCCAATTTGTGGTGTACTATAATAAGCAGTGGCTTAAATTGATAAGAAAATATTTTAGAAATACGTATTTTTTTTGGTCCTTTTTTACTATTTACTTTATTATTTTAACAATTTAAATAATATAAATTATGTTATATATCAAAATAAAAATTTCTCGTAATTTTTAAAAAGGACCTGACCGCATTTCGGTATTTAAAAGGTCCACAAGGACAACCAGCTCTGTGAAGCATACAATTTAAATTTGGGAAAAATATGAATATCGCCTTCTAACAGGATCGTTCTGAGAAAATCATGGACGCCATGAATTCAAAATAAATTGATGTTCAGGGATTTTTTACATAGGCATAGGCATTAAACTCAATTTTGTCAATATCCATTACGGAGACGTGAACTTGACGCGAAAGAAGTGTCGAGAAGAAAAGATTTTGCACTAGAGGTGGAAGAAATAGCGATATATTATCGATTAATTGATATTTCTCCAGCTCTAGTTTGCAAAGTAATAGTCTATTTACACTGGGGTGGAGTTATGGGGTTATTGACATAACCCTGTTTTTTTACATAGGATGTGTATAGGCAACTAGAAGTGTGCAAAAGTGGGGTACTTTTAGGGTCTTTGGTATTTCGGAGTATTTTTTTGTATATTTCAGTATATTTTGTATTTATTTCCTATCGTTGAAGGTCCATCCCTACTCAAATAAACAACAAAAGGGGGATTCCCTAAACTGTTGAATTGCTGAATTGTTGAATTTTGGTCAGCTGTTAATCAGCTGTTCCATACAAAGTCAACTTTCAGAAATTTCAGCAATTCAACAGCCTCGGGGCTGATGAAAATTTTGTTGAATTGCTGAAAAGCCAGAGTTGTCACCTTTTTTTAAAAGTCGTGGCAACTCTGTAACATTTTAGTATCACCAGTACGCATTATTTATTTTAAAATCAACTTAGAAAGCATATTTGTGGTTCTTTTTACCTTGGTAACACTTTTAGACAGTAACTAGCAATAATAAATCAAATTTTACATGTCCGTGAAACTTTTCAACAAATAACAGCTGTTTGAAAATTCAACAGGAACCATTTTGGGTCGTTCCCTTAATTGCTGAAATTTTTTGATGAATTTTCAACAATTCAGCAATTCAACAGTTTAGGGAATCCCCCTAAAAACAACCAACACTAGTTGTCATTACTCGATATGTGGAGTTAACCCAGTGGAAACACTTTTTTGGAGTAATCGGGTTATTGGCTCACTCGATAGGTTACCCCACACAGTGTGACTAGACTATTACTAAACAGGGGCGTACTTATATTTCATGAAAGGGAGAGACCGATTGTTTGATATTTTGCATTTTAATTACTTAAAAATTTGGGAAATCGGTTGACCAACTGTGGATAAACTTCCGTTTAGCTCCTACCCCCAATTTTTTTCAAACTTTCCATATTGATGTGTTTTTGGGTCCTGATTACGGAAAAAATAGCCAAAGTTGGCGCAAATAACGGGATCTTGAAAAATAACGGTAAAAATCGTAAAATTTTCGGTTTTTTGCAGTTTTTTCGGAAAATAAAAGAAAAATCAAAAAATGTTTAGACAAAAACAGAAGATATTTATAGAACGGATCTTTTGTGTATTAATCATTTTCTTCGTAAACATAAAGGTTTTCGATGAAAAACTAAAAGAAGTATTTTAAATTGGGAGTGAACATTTTAAAATACTATAATATTCCGCCATAAAATGGCGACAGATAGTTTTCGATTAGTCGATAACAGCATTTTACTTTCTACTCTAATGATGGACCTATTTTGCCTTTTTATACGATGTATCCTGTTCATGCTCCTCGAAAAAAGGAAATGGAACGGATGACCTGAATGAAAGCTGGATAAGCTTTTAAAGAAAGTAGTAAGGTACGGGCGAAGAAAGCGCCGAAGGCAAAAATTTTTTAAAACAAAAATCGCCGCGATTTTCGTTTAAAAAAATTTTTGCCTGCGACGTTATAAATGATTTATATGTATTTTTTGTTAATACATTTTATTTCCGTTGTATAATTTGTATTTTATTTTGTTTTCTAAATGTTATATTTAACTACGAGAAGTGAAATGCTCTTCCTAAAAAATGTAATGCCATTCTCGTGCTTAGGTAGTATCATCGCTAATACATCGAGAGACATAGATATAAATTTTGACACACCGATACAACATGAAGCTTTCGTGCGATATATCGGGCAAAATCACGCAAGTGTGCTTCAACGGTTTTTTATTTTCAAACATTGTGAAAAAATATTCTTATTTAGCGTTTTTAACGAAAACTATTAGTTTTACAGAAAAAATGTATAAAACATAAAATACTCATTTATTTAATAGCTTTCATTTCTCCTAGCTAGCTTTTTGATTAAGTTATTATATTCGAAGATATAGAAAAACAGTTTTTACCGTTATTTTCCATGATCCCGTTATTTGCGCCAACTTTGACTATTTTTCCAATAATCAGGAACCCAAATAACGTGGATTTTGAAAGTTTGAACGAAATCGGGGGTTATTATATATATACTACGGGGACAAATTTAAAAAAACAACACAATTTAAAATTTCGTTTAATTTTAAATAATGCACAACAAAATTTCAATATAATATCTTTTAAACTTGAGTTTTTGCACCAAAAACGGGTTTTTTACCCATAGAGCTCTGTTAATAATGAAATGTAAATAAATACGTCGTTAATAGCTCTTCAGATTGCATAATATGCCCATAACTTTTTGGGAAAAACGTTTTCAAAATTTGGCGCCAGGTCGTAAAGTCGAAAAAAGACCTTTCCAATATCCTCAAATACAAAAGTATGCTTGATGATGAGGTCTTTAAACGCTAATTTCGCGTATTTCCTAAAAGTCAATAGCGAAGTCATTTGAAGTGACCCACTTTACAGCGCGAGTTCAAAGCAATCAATAGTGTGTTTACTGTTATGGCTTCCCTATGAGCTGCTCGGTGGTTTGGTTCTTTAACGATTAAATGCCAGCCACTGGGTTTCTAGACGTCAGTTGGAAGGTATCATGGAGCGCTGGTGCAACAAAGTGGCCGTGGTGAGCGGAGCCAGTGCAGGAATTGGTGCCGCTTGCACCAGGGCCCTGATCGGCGCAGGCATGGTGGTCGTGGGCCTGGCAAGGCGGCAGGAGCGGGTGGAGCTCCTCCGCAAGGATCTGAGTCCCGAACAGCAGTCCCGGTTGCATGCAATCAAGTGCGATATTACACAGGAGGATCAGGTACAAAAGGCCTTTGACTGGGCTAGCAGGGAGTTCGGAGGCGTAGACGTCCTGGTAAGCAATGCCGGCATTATAGGTACCGGAGAACTTAGCGAGCGGAATGACGGTCCTGCCATGCGGTCCACCATTGAGACCAATATCATGGGCACCGTTTACTGCGTCCGCGAGGCCTTCCATTCGATGAAAAAGCGGGGCTCCGAAGGTCACGTGGTAATCGTGAATAGCGTGGCGGGTTACCAGGTTCCCAACCTGGGTCCCCAGCTGCCTTCGCTTAACATTTACCCGGCCACCAAGTTTGCCCTTCGCGCCATGAACGAGATCTACCGGCAGGAGTTCCAGCGGCACAAGACCCCTGTAAGGGTTTCGGTTAGTGAAGTGAATCCGAAGAGTCTTCTGGAGCACTGCGTAATTTAAGTTGCATTTTCAGACCGTCAGTCCCGGCATAGTTGATACGGACATCTTGCCTGAGCAGATACAGGGTGTTATAAAGCAGCACATGCCCATGTTGCGAAGTGATGACGTGGCCGATGCGGTTCTGTGGACTATCAGCACACCGCCTAACGTTCAGGTAAGCTCCATAAATCGCATTTCCATTATTAACATTTTTTTATTTTAACATATTTACTATTTTTTGTATAAATATTTTAGTTTACAAAATTAAAAAAATTCTTATAAAATTTGCATTGATTCCCTTTAAGTTATATTTTGTAGAAAAATTACATTACATAACCACCAGAACTTTTTCATTCAGTGTCTCTTTAAGTTCTTTGCCTGAAGTCTATTTTATTTTCATATCGGTAATAACGTTAGCATGACTGATAACACACCACGTTTTATGGATAATAATAAAATTGTGACCTCCTACCATTGCAGATCCATAATATCACCATTAAGCCCCAAGGCGAAAAGTTCTAATCCGTCATATAAATGGCAAAGTGCAATCGACAGCAAGCAACGGAACTTTATGATGTAAAATATTTTGCTGTTAAATTAAAAATTAAGTTTTGTCTTGTCATTTATTTATTTTTGGTCCTTAAACTTAGAGAATTTTTCGCTTATTATTGTTCAAAAACAGTACTCGTACTTCTAGCCCTTGAAAGATTCTGGCTCAAGACAACAAAAAGAATAAACAAAACCCTAAATATAAGATTTTCTTTATTTTCTTTAATATTCCTAAAAACGTTGGTATTTTTAACTTATTTCTTGTGCCGGCGAATTCAATTCCCCAACTGCGAATCTTAGCCCACTGCAAACACCAATTTCAACCTTTATTTCTGTTCTCTCTGCCAAAGACTCTCCACTTTGCTATCACAGTAAATTTAAGAGAGTTTTGGCTGGGGTCTCAAAGTTTTGCTTCACAAGGTCCTTTTCCATTTCGTTCCAAAGCCGTTTCAAAATGCTCGCCACTGCTTCCTGGCGATTCAGTTGTGTGGAGCCAGTCGCTCCGAAAACATCGTCCTTTGGTCTGTGGTCCCTTTTCATCATTGTGCGACAGATTTTGCATCATTCGCCATCTGTTGTCGCGTGCATCTGTTGATTGTGTTTTTAGTAACACCGTTGAGTACAAACCATACATCCGTGCCCACGGTTTTTAGTCAGAGAATTGCATGATTTAGTTCCTGCGGAGAACCTGTAACCATTTTGCAGAGTTGTAACTAACTAACAATTTAACTACTAATTTTTTTTTATTTTTTTAATAAAATATATTTAATAAAAAGAAAGAAAGAAAACATCATAGCAGAGGGTTTTCTAGTTTCAGTCAGAAGATAAAAATAAATGTATATTTTTGATCCATTTATGATCCGTGATCCGCACACTGACGCCCATTATTTAATAGAAAATAATGGTATAGGAACAAAATACGCATAGAAGTCAAGACATTACCTTTCTTGCCATGTAAAATAAAATGTGTAATTTAAGACACAAATACATATATTACCTTCATTCTCATTCTCTCATTCTACCAATAAGTATTCTTTTGTTCATACACCTGTTCATCGCCTGTATCCTGTTTGGCGAATCCCCACGATATTGTTAAGAAACTCAATTTAAATGCACATATTACATTTAGCCCGAGCTGACCAAACAGTCAAACTGGAGTCACCGCGTCACCTTTTTTGATTTCGTTGGAAAAACTCCTTTTATTAATATTCATGAAAGCTGAAAAGTTTTTCGGTTATTTATTTAATGGATACTGAAATCCACTGGTCCGTTGAGGATTTTCACGGTTATGTGATTAAAGTAGCGGGTTACACCGAGCATACCTTTAAATGACACAGCTTGAATTTATGTGCTTCGCGTATATTAGTAAATAATTGAAGGTTATCTTAGTCTCATTGCGGTTAGTTTGCTGAGAAAAGTTTTAATCGAATTTAATATGCAATTTACATAAATAGAGTGTTTTAATTCCTATAACAGGAAGCTTTTGACATAAACTGATATTTATATATTGGGATTTCTTAACATTTCTTAATTTTTACCAAGCTTAAATAAATTGTAAAAAACAATTTTAAGCAATAAATCCTGACTGACAAAATAAAAATGAATGGTCTCTTTAATCAGAGGAAAGGATGTTTAGAAGTTAGACCGAAGACCAATAAATTATTACTTTAAAAAGCATTTACCTTTGCGTTGGATGCTTCAATAATAAAATTCAAACAGATTTAACCATAAATCAATGTTTAGCGGAGAATTTGGCAATGTAAGCCTAAATTTTAAATATATTAGTCTATTTCCACATAAATTAGCGAAAGCCCCGTCAGCGATAAGGCAATTAATGTATGGAGAGCAGCAAGCCGCTATGCAAATGGTCATATGTTAAACGCCAGCCACCGAAGTGACATCGATGCGAGGTTATAAACTCAGGGGAGGTATGCTTCGGTGGTCGATGGCAATACGAGTGCTATTAAAAGCCATTCCAGTGAACTTCTGTCTCTCGTAACTCATAAAGGAAAGCGTTCTCAGTATCTACCTCGGCCCTTAGACCTGGCCTTTATTGTTTCGAGATTTATGTTCTGGAGTAGAACTCTGCATTCGGCATTGTCCTGGTTTGCTTGACTTCAGTCCTGAACTGCTGGCTTCAAGGGATATGCAAATTAAATTGAAAGACAAAATAATACGAATCTTTGTTTGATTTTGTATTAGAATATTATTTGAGTGATTAAAGATAAAGGCACTATAGTAGTGTGCACCAATCAATTAGGATTTTTAAAATCAGTATGCAAACATCAGTGTGCTGACTTACGAGTCTCTTCCACCTGGTAAACTTTGTATGCAAGCATATAATAAATTCACAGGATAAACGGAGCTGACGTCATTGACTTCACAACAAAGACAAACGAATTGAATGGAGAGGGGGCATTCAGGACACTTGCCTTGATGACAGGACAGCTTTACACCGACTGCGTTCGGCTCGATTCATTTAATCAAGTTAAATAGAATCGGTATGCACTTCTGGGAACATCAGATGTAGCCTGATTTTACAATAGCAAATGTAACCTTATTGTCCTCTTGGCCAAATATGAAATGCAATGGATCAAGATTTATTTTGTAAGGGGAGAGTTTTATTTGATGGAACTTTTGGTTCGAGCCCAGATAAACCGTATACGGTTTAACTCATGTGACTATATTTAGTTATCCCATCTTTTCTAGGCTTCTTATTCCCAAATTCCTTGCAGCGGCACTCTATTCCACAAATTCTTTTTTAAAAAAATTGTTTGATTGCGTCTATGGTAGTAGTAGTCTTTGTTGCGTTCAAAGATTAATGTGTAAAATTAATTTGAAAGGCTCAGTAGGACGAAGATTAATTGAATTTCTTCAACCATATTCTGGAAAATTGAACTCTGTTGAAATTTCAAAACACGAAAACAAGGATGTTTATGGCATACTAGATTTCAATAAATAATGGTTGATTCGGCAGCACATAATTTGTGTGGTGGGCACAAAACTCCCGGACTCTCTCTTTATGGCCGCTCGCATCGTCCGCACCACGGCTCATATGCTTTTCATTTTCATTGGTTATTTGTCGCTTGAGTTGTTTTTCGGCCATAAAGATTATAATCTTTGTATGCTGTGCGGACACCAACAATAACAATAAAAAAGGAATTTGTTCTACTATCCGCAAAGCTCCGGGGTAAAACTTTTCGACCAAATCGCATAAAATATCTTTTGGTACGATAAAAGAAAAGTGGGGAAACGATAGAGGAACAGCAATAAGTTTTTCTGTACAATATTTTCCTTAATAATAGTAGGTATACTTTAGAGCTGAAAATTTCCGTTATTAATGATTTGTGGAATAGAAGATTTATTTTGTTTAAATGAAATATTTGTGGAATAATTTAAGTAAGTTTCTTTATTTTATAAATTTTGTGTTTACATTAAGCTTATTATTTATAATTTTGAATTGACAGGTTTTGGAGATAACAGCATTTAAACCCATGGCCGTATTTCTAGGAAGATTTTCTTAAGATTCCACAAGAGGGAACCTATTTATAAATTGGCTGACATCTTCCGACTGGCGATTTATACGCTCGACTCGTAGCTTTCGGTCATTTGTTATATCCCTTAAAAATGTTGACCAGTTTGATGCGAGGTTCGGCAATTGCTCAATAGATATCTCAATGGGTGTCATCGTACTTTTCTTCACATTCTTTAGTGGGCCAACGGTCGAATTTTCTCCAGTTGATACTGCTACGACGTTCGTCATTTTTATATATTTTAAAATGTAGTGATCAGAAGAGGCTCTTGAAGCAGACTGATTTGAAGCTATCCGCGCATTGCTTTATATAGATCCTATCAGGTAAATGTACATAACTCTCTTACTCTTTGGGCTCAGGTAGAACCCGTGGAAAACCCAACGGATCCAAATCCATGCCCAAGAAAGGAGCAGGTAAAGTTATGCCAGCTGCTAGCCATTGCCTGCTGAATAATCTCCTAACAGATGCAAAGGTAATATAGCCATAAACCAAATATGCGCAAAACTAAGGTACCTATGATTACCAAAAATATTTTAGTCCAATAAAATCTGACGTAGGTAGTACATAGTAGGTACCTACTTGATTAAAAACTATAACCCTTCTTATAGCCAAATCTACATACAAACTTTACATTTGTAAGTTTAAAATATCATCTATCCAGAAGGCTCTGTGAACTTGTGGATCAGTTTACAATACTTTACCAAAAAATCTGTAGGTTTTGTATATAAATTGTTGTAACCCTGTAAATTAAATTTTAGTTCTTGTTGGCCACATAATTACATTTAAATAAGAAATATGCTCAGCAGAACCGAGATGTCCCTCCCTCTCCAAAAGGCGAATATGGCAAAAGTGGAACCTTCATTTCTAGCCAAAAGAGTTACAACAAAGGACCTTAAAAATCGCATATTTGCTTTACAGAAACGAGTCAGTGAATGGAAATCCATTCACACAAAGCTAACTGAATCAAATTTAAGTTTATGGGAATGTCGACTGACTCATTTTTAGCACAGTAAATAAAAATTCAGCACATTAAAAGAACAATCCAGCTACATTTCTTTTTGCAAAAAAATACATAATATTGAAATATGCCTAAGAATAAAAATGGAATATATTTGGTTTCACACTTTTGTAGTTTTATACATTCATTGTATTATTATTTTACTTAAATTAACAAAGACTGATAACCCACATCCTTGAAAGTTGTAACATAAGAGGTATGCCAGAAATTGTTTTCTCCAGCATTTTTATTGTCACAATATTCATACGCATTCCATTCCAGCATACTGTCGCCTGCGAAATTGAGCAATTTAATTATTCTCATATGGAACAAGAAAGGAAGCTAGCTTCGGCCAGCCGAAGCTTATATACCCTTGCAGATCATTCCTATTAATTAACAAATCGCAAAAATGTTCAATTTTCTAATATTTCTCATTAATTTTCCGATCGTTCCTATGGCAGCTATATGATATAGTCGTCCGATTTTGATCAAATTAAAATTGAAATTCGAAAATATTTAAAAAGAGTCATATCCTAGAGTAGAAGATAATACAATAAAAACCAAAGAAGCTAGAATTTATTTCCTATTACTTTTCCATTAATTTTTCGATCATTCCTATGGCAGCTATATGATATAGTCGTCCGATTTTGATTAAATTAAAATTGAAATTCGGAAATATTTAAAAAGTGTCATAACCTAGAGTAGAAGATAATACAATAAAATCCAAAGAAGCTAGAATTTATTTCCTATTACATTTCCATTAATTTTCCGATCGTTCCTATGGCAGCTATATGATATAGTAGTCCGATTTTTTAAATAATTAATTCGAAATTCAGATATATTTAAAAAATAACAACAAAAGTAGAAGGTAATATTTCAAAAAACACCGAAGCTAGAATTTTTTAAAGTTTTTTTTTTCCGATTGTTCCTATGGGAGCTATAAGATATAGTTGTCCGATCCGGTCGGCTCCGACATATATATTACCTGCAATAGAAAGAAGACTTTTGGGAAAGTTTCATCCTGATAGCTCAAAAACTGAGAGACTAGTTTGCGTAGAAACAGACAGACGGACAGACGGACAGACGGACGGACAGACGGACATGGCTAGATCGACTCGTCTTGTGATGCTGATCAAGAATATATATACTTTATGGGGTCGGAAACGTCTCCTTCACTGCGTTGCAAACTTCTGACTGAAATCATAATACCCTCTGCAAGGGTATAAAAATAATGATGCTGCCTGTGCACATTCCCTGGAAAGGTAAACATTGACATCCAATGATGGCTTCAAACTGCCGGGCGACAATTGCAATTAATTGCATATTTTAAGCCATTCCAGATTGGAGCCGCAGACACCGTGAGCAACAACAATTGCTCTACAAAAAGGAAAACATAATATATATATGTTTAATGTCCATGATAAAATGTAAAAACAAAAGGATCGGCCTGACCGTTATCAAAGGAAAGAAATTAATTGGTCTTTATGCCAAAAATTAACAATTATGACAATAAAATGCATTCTGTTTATTATGGGAATAACCAAATTGTAATTTTAAATTAATCGGGGCAATAAAAATGTAAAATAAAAGATTTAAAAAGGGCATTCAATTGTCTGGAAAACCAAAAAATGTACGGAAGTGCTTGAAAAATAACTGGAATAAAAAGGGTGCAGTGAAATGTGTTTTGAAATATTGGTTTTAATAACAAAAATTAACAATTATGACAAAAAAATGCATTATGGGGAACTGTATTTTTTAATTAACCAGGCAATAAAACTGTAAAATAAAAGCTGTTTAATGGCATTCCATTGTCTGGAAATGCAATTTGCAATGAAGTATGATTACAAATATTTGATTTTGTAAGCTTAGCTAAAAATAAAAATTGTTTAAAATTTTGCAGAAAGGGACAATACTTATATCCTTACCAAACATTTAAGATGAATTTTGATTTTTTTTTTAGTTTATGTGAGACTTCAGATAAAAGTATCCTCGCATATACGCTGTGCAATTGCCTATCTACTTTTCCCAAAATATTTTTGAGAGTCCTCTACGTGAATACTCGCGACTTTTACAAGTTTTTGGGGAGGCTCGAAAACAGGAAACAAATAGCAGATCGTAAAGGCAGGCGGGAAAGGAATCATAGCCAACTTGGCGTGTGTTTGCCACTTGACAGTCGTTTAAATGCATTAAAATATTACCTTCTTCAACATGAGCAAAACAAAACAGAGGCAAGGGCAAACATGACATCCGCCAAATTTTCACATGCGATAGACTTTTTGGAAGGGAATGGGGAAGGGTCTACGGGGATGTTACGCCCACTACCAGGCCGGGAAAAATCAAATCATCAGCCAAGGCCGCGCCAGCCAATGACTACAACAATGGTGAAAGGATAACTTTGGCGTGGCTGTCTGCTGCCAGGACAGGAAAAGGGTTTGCCACAGTATCGAAGAGGGAAGGGACGGAATGACTCAGTCGACTAGTTAACACAAATTGAAATTTTGTACCAGCAGACCGAAAAATAGGAATACTAGAATAAAGCTATCGGCCATGTTCCCGTTTTCGAATACTTTTCAACCGTTTTCGAGCTATTGAATCAAAGGTAGAATCTAGAATTTGCTTAAAAGAGATTTTGGGGAACCCCAAAAGTATGAAATTTTACTAATATATTTAAATTAATAAATACAGACAAGACTTTGGGAACCAAAACCAACTTGAAAAAAGGAAGCTACCGAAAGTGAGCGAAGGAAAAATAGAGGGAGCACTACTAGAAGAGAGGGGGAAATCGGGAGTGGCCGGCGGAAAACAAAATATTCATGAACACAGCAGTCTTATAAATAAATTTTCAGCCCCAACACAGAACCCATCATTGGCACTTCCACCCTTAACCTCAGTCGCCTCGTTGTCGTCCGCCGATGCAGCTATGTATATAGCTATATAGTGTTTGCCACCAAAAGTGGGTAAGAAAGTGGCACTGGAACGGCTCGAAAATCTTAAAAATATGCTAACAGAGAGAGAAAAAGGAGCATCAAGCTTTTATGATGGTTCGATTTCGTGGAATTAGCAATGAGCAAGAATTGCAACAGGATGGAAGCAGTAAGAGGTCGACCATTTGCCACTGAAAAGTAGTCGCTTATGCAAGAAGCGAATTTTTAATAATACCAGCGAGGTTGGCCAAGGACTTTGAATGGTGGCAAATGGCTGTAGAGTGGCGAATACATAATGCAGGGGCCATCAGGGTACAACCAGTAAATACACTCGGCAGAATAAGTTTTGCATCGTTCCTTAGCAGAAGGGACCTTAAGTGGGCAACTTTGAAAAATAAATATGGTCGTAAGTTTAAATTTAACAATGAAAATCTTTAGAGTTTTAAAACCAAAAATATTGAGATTGTATGCTATAATACAATTTGAATAACGAAGTGCGAATGATAGACTTATTTTTTAAAGTTAAAGCCTCTATAGATTACTAATATAAATTTTACATTTCTTCCCTATCATTATGGATAAAATATGTGTGTAAATTGTATCAGGATTAACTAAAATATGAAATATCTTTCTAAATCCAGTCAGTGCAAGACAAAACGAACGTTTTAAATCTGTTCTAATTAATTTAAGCCATTGACATTGACAGGAAATCCCGATTATATGCAATTTGCCGAACTTTCAACTCCAGTAAAGAGATCGTTAAGTGAAGAGAATCGTCAGCCGGAGGCGGTTGGCGACAAAAAGCCATAAAATAAATTATTTCAAGAATCAATTACAACTAATAGCACAGACCAGCTGGAAACCAATTTAATTCACTTGAGTTGCATACGTAGCGCGTTTGCCAAAGGACGAAGAGGGGTCCGTATGCCAGCCAGGGACAAAATCGAGGACCCACACTCAAAATAAATTTAACCCTAAATTTTAGAAAATCGCCATTAAAATTTCTTTTTTCTAAATACAAGAAAGTTATTTCTAAATCTAAGGAAATTTTTCTTAAGTCAAGAAAGTTTTCCTTAAATCCAGGAAGTTTTTCTTAAATGTAGAAAATGGTTACCATGAACTAAAATCACCCTAAAATCTAGAAAAAATGCCCTTAAAATTAGAAATTATTTTCTGAAAAATAGAAAGGCAAACGAAAATAATAAAATATATTGGCAACACCTTTTCTAAAAATGAGTGCCCTAACCCTAAAATTAAGCTAACCCTAAATAATAGAAACATTTCCTAAAAAGTAGAAAGTTTTTCTAAAAAATAGAAATAGTTGTTT